ACTTGCAGCCCGCAGCAGCATTGGAGTGAGGTTGACTCACCACAGGTCCTGTCCTTTATGTGGCCTCAACTGATGTCATGTCTAGCAGTGGCCTCTTTGGGTGAGAAGCCAGACAGGTGTGTGTGGGTAAGAGGAGGGGGTCTTTCTGGCAGAAATATGGGGAGAAGCAGGTTAATCTCAAAGCCAAGAAGATAGAAGGGGGTGGCCTGGGACAGCTACAGAAGTGTAAAGCTACCAGGTTTCGGGCTGCTACCGAGCATGGCTGTATCTGGGCTTTGTGCGGCAGGCACGAATGGTTTGAGGTATCTCACTGGTGAGGTAAGGAATTAAGGTCTGTAGGAGGGAGTGTGGGGAAGTTGGGCCTAGTTGGTGGTAGAGTTGAAGACATTGCCATGCCCAAGAGGGGCAGGTGAACAGTGAAGAGAGGCTGCCCTGAGGAAATGAAATCGAGAAACTCAAATCTAATGGGTGACTGTGGTTCTCCTGAGATGAAGGGAGAGGCAGGATAGAGGTGGGAGCTCACACACTCCCATCCTCAGATTCTTCCCCTGCGGCCAAGTGAGACACTATCCACAGCTCTGTCCTGGGTGGTGTAGCCAGGGGATATGAGCGGACTACAGAGAGTCCTTGCCTTCTCTCACAGGGTCAGGCAGGACAGTGTGTATGCGGTGGAAAACTAAACATGAAATATTTTGTGATGTGAGTCATTGTCTGATTAAGTGTACCCTGACAGTTTCATTAAATGCTCAGGTATGTGGTGTTTGTCAGGAGGATGTACTGTTGGGGGCCGTGGAGGAGGTGGGGCCCAAGTGTGGTCTTGGAGCACGAGCAGATAAGACTGAGAAGGGAGGAGCCACATGTGAGCATCAGGATACATGAGGTTGGGAAAGGCAAACCAAGACCAAGTGGTGAGTTTGGTCTATGAAGAGCCAGTGAGCTCTGCACTGCCGTGACTGGCAAGCCTTGGAAGCTAGAAGCTCAAGAGCAGTTCGGGTAAGAGACCCGGGAGGTAGCAGGGCAGGACTGTCTGTGTCATCTGGTTGACCCAGCAGTCACGACATGCGTGGGCCGAGGAGAAGCCAGCAACAGGGAGGCCTGTGAAACTTAGGTTGGTTTAATGGTTTCAGAGTCAGGAGGTCATGGAGGATGGCTGAGACTCGGAGTGGAAGGCAGCCAAGAAATAGGACATGAGCTGGCATTTTGGAGCTGCTATTAAGCCTCATGCAAAGGGAAACTGGAGACCCTTCTGATAGGGAGCAGTGCCACAGTCTGAGAGACGGGGCATCCAGCCCCTATGTGAGGGGTCAGCCTAAGGGGCATATGGTCGCCTGTGGCCCTGGAGAACTTGAAGCAGAGATGGCACCTTGCATAAGGGTGTTCTTAGCGAAGTGGGTGACATCAGCTTCTCGGTGAGAGTGACCCGGAACCTGTGGGAAAGACAGAAGCCTCTCCAGGGGTGCTCAGTCAAGTCAGCGATGCTGCCCAGCACCCCGAGAGCCATTTCTCATTGGTCACTGCAACTCAGGTACAGGTGTTAGAGGAGGAGCACATTCCAGGGCTGAGGGTGGTTCAGCAGCCTGGGGAGTCTAGGGGCTGTGAGCAGTGTGAAAACAGAGGCTCAGGGAGTAACCGAGGAGGTCAGAGAGGAGGTGCAGAGCCAGCAGCCGCTGGGGGCCAGATAGAGGCAGATCAAGGAGATGAAATGTGGGGGTTTTACAAAGCCTAGTGGGTCATCCTCTAAGAACACTGAAGTAGACTAGTGAATGATGAGGTGGAGAAAAGGGCTGACCCATTTGGGGTTCTGTGGGGAATGGGTTCCCAGGAGGGTAGCTTCCGGCATCAGTGGGTGACATAATGGTATGAATGGTGGTATGTATAGGCCTTGGGCAATACCCGAGACATCTGTGACACCTTTTGTCATCTGCAGAATGGAGGGAGGTGCTGCCAGGGGGGTGGATGGGGCTAGAGGCAGCGAAGCCCTTCAGACCAGAGTTGACGTGGAGAAGGGGAAGTCGCTGACCTGGATCTGTGCTTTCTCTTAATGACACCTGCCGGAGAGCCCACAGTCCTGGGACACTGGGCCTCCCTGGGCAGAGGATGGCCCAGGAGGCAGGTGTGGTCTCGAGCAGCCCCCATCAGCCCCCTAGTCACTGCAGACCTGCCCCTGTGGACCAGGTGATCTGGAAGCAGGTTGGCTGTGGGGGGATGTTCGCGGTACTGTGGGCCCCAAGGTTGCTGCTCAGGGTGTCCTGCTTTTCCTTGCCCTGCTCTCCAGTCCCTGAAGAGGAAGGAGAAGGAATATGAGCATGAGATGGAGCGGCTGGCGCGGGAGAAGATCGCCACGCAGCAGCGGTTAGCGGAGCTCAAACATGAGCTGAGCCAGTGGATGGACGTGCTAGAGATTGACCGTGTGCTCCGACAGACAGGCCAGCCCGAGGACGACCAGGCTTCCACCTCTACTGCCTCTGGTGAGCCCCACCTCTCAGATGTCAGGCTCCCTGGCCAGGCGTTTGCCTGCTGGAAAAGATGCCCTCCCCTCCCAGCCCCATGATGTCCCCAGGCCCCAGGGGCATCTGTTTCTCCAGCCTTGTGTTTCCAAGCCCTCTGACCTGTCCCTGTCCTTGTGTCCCCACAGAGGGCGAGGACAACATAGATGAGGATATGGAGGAGGACCAGGCCGGCCTGGGCCTACCCAAGCTGAGCCATCGCCCCCACCCGGAGCTGCCGAAGCCACCGCCCAGCACCGCCCCTGTGCCTCTGCCTCCCCACCCACACGCCCACTCCCAGCCTGTGGCCCTGTCTCCAGCCCATCTGCCTGGGCAGCAGCCGCCACCACAGCAGAAGACACCTCTGCCGGCTCCTCCTCCCCCACCAGCTGCCCCTGCCCAGACGCTGGTACCAGCTCCAGCCCATTTGATGGCTGCATCTGGGGGAGGCTCCACGGTCATCGCCCACACAGCCACCACCCACGCCTCAGTCATCCAGACTGTGAACCACGTTCTCCAGGGGCCAGGCGGCAAGCACATCGCCCACATTGCCCCCTCAGCCCCCAGCCCTGCTGTGCAGCTGGCACCTGCCACACCCCCTATTGGCCACATCACAGTGCACCCTGCCACCCTTAACCACGTGGCCCACCTTGGCTCCCAGCTTCCCCTGTACCCACAGCCTGTGGCAGTGAGCCAGCCCGTGGCGGTGAGCCACATTGCCCACACCCTCTCGCACCAGCAAGTGAATGGCACAGCTGGGCTGGGGCCCCCCACCACCGTCATGGCAAAGCCAGCCGTGGGGGCTCAGGTGGTGCACCACCCCCAGCTGGTGGGCCAGACAGTGCTCAACCCTGTGACCATGGTCACCATGCCCTCCTTCCCGGTCAGCACACTCAAGCTGGCTTGAGGAGGAGGCCACTCAGAGGCCCCCAGTGGGGGCAAGAAGGGGAACCTGTCCCCACACTCTCCCACCAGCTCCACACATTCCAGTCCGGCCCAGGCCCACCCCACCCACCCCCACCCCCAGGCCTCCTAGGGGAAGGGGGTGCAGAGACTCTGAGCCAGGGGAGGGAGGGGCCACCCCAGGGAGCTGGGCACAGGGCAGGGGGTTAGTTCACTGCACTAGGACTTGGTAAAGTGATGAGAGACGCTCTGGTGGACGTGCTGCCGATTCAGCCTGGTGCTGTTCCTGCCTCCCCGTCCTGTCCCCTGAAACAGTTTGATGTGGATGTCATGTTCTCTGCCTTCTCCCTCCCCTGCTGCCTTCCTGTGCTGCTGCTGCTATTGCTCTGTCTGGTGATGTGGCTGAGGATCTGGGCCCTCCCTCCTGAGCCTCAGCCTCTCTTCCCAGGCCTATGGAGGGGAAAGAGGAGGAATTGAACTGAAGCAACTTGGCTCAGAAAGTTGGGGAGCACTGTGGGCCCTATTCTGAGTACAGGTGAGAAGTCCTAGGAAGTGGCTGTCTGGAGTCCTACGCAGACAGGTGGGTGCCCCAGCCTGGGGCGCGCCAACCCAGTTGCAGTCACTGATTGCTTACAGCAGAACTAGTTAGGATTTTCTACCAACAGTAAACCAAACCCAAGCTGTTGCCAAGTTTCTGAGCCTTTCACCCCTTACCACTGGGCTCCTGACCTCAAGAGGGCAGGCTGAGGGTGGGGTGGGGTGGGGGAGAAGGGGTTTGGCTGTCCCATCGTCCCCACCGTCCCCAGCCTGGGTCTGGACTGAGAGCTGCTCTGGACCCCTGTTCCCATCCCTAGGTGTGGCTTTTGGCTTCCAGAAGGCTGTCACTCCCCCGATTCACTGGCCTCTGCTTAGTGCTCTGCACTCCCCTGAGGATGGGTACCTGGGGGTGCCACCTGGGAGACATGGAACAACATCTGGTCTGGGTTCCAGGAGCCTGAAGCCACACTGTTGAGGCAATTAGGAAGTGAAACGGCAGGGGTTCCTCTCGGCTCCCAGCCCTTTCCCACGGAGGCGCTGAGCACCTGTAGAGGGAGCAGAGCCGGGCTGTTGCAGGGCTGCTGCTTCTGCCCCAACAACTGTCTCTAGCGTCATCTCCGCCCCGAACGTTGCCCTTTCTCCAGTGGGCGTTACTGAGTGAACCCTGGTGGGGGCTTCTGTGTGCCACCGCCTTCCTCTGAGGAAAGGTCCTTAGTTGGGCCAAGGGCAGGGCTGAGCTTGGGGTGGAGAGGAGTGAGGGGAGCTGGTGTGTAGGGGATGCTGTTTTCCCTGCCTCCGCCTTGGCAGACTTCGACTTTTTTTATTTTCCTAATATATTTTTATTAATTTTGGAGAGGGAGGGAGAGACAGAAACATCAATGATGAGAGAGAATCATTGATTGGCTGCCTCCTGCATACCCCCAACTGGGGATTGAGCCCCAACCCAGGCATGTGCCCTGACTGGGAATCGAACCATGACCTGGTTCATAGGTCGATGCTCAACCACTGAGCCACTCCGGCTGGGCGGGGTCTCTTTTTATGTAGGTATTTATTACAAGTGGCCTTGTGTCAGACACACCATTACACACGCGTGCACACTTGGCTCCCCACCTGGACACACCAATGGCCTTTCAGTGTGGAGAGGACGAGAGTGTCCCTAGGTGTGAAGTTTGCACTGACAGGTTGGGGCCCAGGATCCTCTGGAGGCCCCCGCAGAGGTCTTGAATAGATTTATATGCCTAAGAACTCCCTTTCAGTTCCTCCCTGGTCCTGGAGCCCTCCCAGGGGACTTTCTCCCGTCTCTCCTGGGGGCGGGGGAAGGGAAGGCCTTTCAGATGCCTTAGAGGCCTCCAGGGAGAGTCCCATTCGGCCCCCAGCCCCACGCAGCGCTCCCACCTCACAAGCTTGCTGCCTTCCTGCACTTGCAGCCGCTAGCACCACCCAGGTCCTCTGGAGCCAGTTCCACTCCCGATGTGATTACAATGGAAAGAACAGGGAGAAGGGCAGGCCTGGTGCCCAGGGAAGAGTCCGGAACATGGTGAACCGCCTCTCCTCAGCTCCGTTCACCTCCCTACATCCTGAGGCTGGTCCAGAGTTAAAACTTGTGTCAGCCAGTCGCCCCTCGGGCCTGCACAGATACCTCATCCGCCCGCTGCCCGTGCCCCTCTCCGTCCCCAGCAGTGGGGGCTCTGAATCTAGTGCCGAATGACTATGTCCAGACTGGTGACGATGGGTGTTGCTGTTCTTGTTGTTTGTGAATGCTGTGACTGTGCCCGAGAGGGCAGCCGCCCAGCCCTCCGGGCATCTCCCTTCTGAGAGCTATCAGGACCACATCTGTCCTCACCCTGTGGGACCGCCTGCCCTGCCCCTCCCCTCCCCTCCCCTCCCCAGCCCTTCCAGCCTGGGGGACGTGCGCACACACACATCTTACCTCTCATGCGTGTTTTACTTTTTGATGTTCAGAGTGGCTCACTGGCTGGGAATCTTTACCTCGGGGAGAGGGGGAGGTTGGTTCCCTGGGGGGGCCAAAGAAGGGCAGGGAACGCCTGGAGGGAAACGGGGGCGGGGGTCACCAGAACCCCTGCTCTCTCCAGGAACAGCTGCTGCTCCCCCATCCCAGGATCCCACCCCCGTCCCCCAAAGAGGTGGCCCTTGTTTACAGTGAGGACTCGGTCACTGTGTCTCTGTTTCCTGAAATATAAATCGTAGTGACCCCAGACTGTAGAGATTTTTATGTGTTTGGATACATCTGCTGTGTGGGAAAAAAATTACAAAAAACCCTACTTTTGTACATATTGTATTTTTACTATTGAACTGTATTCTAGTGGCTGTTCATGCTCCAAGACTTTAGGTATTGAGACATGAATACTATCCATGTAATAAGCACTTGCCTGGAATAAAATATAAAATTGAAATAAACCTGCACTGAAACCGGAGATGGAGCTGCCAGCCCGCAGCATCTGGGTCCTTTTGTGGCAAAAGGAGGCAGAGACCTCCAGCAAGAAGCAGCAGGTCCCTTTCCCTGTTGGTGTTTGGGGGATGGTCCTCAAGCAGCTTCGGTGCTGGTCAATTTTAGAAGAAGGTAGAGACCTTCCCGTTCTGATCCCGGTGTCGAATCATCAACAAGCTCCCAGAACTGCAGTTCTGGTCTTCCTTATGCTTTTCCAGTACTTCCTCAAACCATTTTACAAACACTATCTTGTTTTATCTCATAACAACAGTGAAGTAAAGCCAAGAACTAGCCCCATTCTGGCAGAAAAAGTAACAGGTTTGAGATGGCTAAGTGACGTTAGAGACACAGCCAGCCTGGGACCTTGTGTAGCTTCAGTCAGACCTCACTCGTGCAGGGTTCTCCCCGAGCAGTGCCATCCCGCCCTGGGGCCTGCTGTACAACTGGGGGATCTTAACGCATGAAAGTTCCAATGGAAAAGAAGGTGAGGAGGGGAAGCATTCATGGGGTAGAGGTTAGGACAGGTCAACTGGGAGTCCATGTGGCTGTCCTTTCAGGGGAGGGAACAAGAAGAGGAAGAGGTCAAAACCATGTTCTAAGGTGGCCTGCAAACCAGGTTTTGGAAAATCTTTGTCCCTGTAACTACATCTTCCCAGTTTAGGGGAACCGGCCCTTTGGCAGGCTGTCTCAGGAAGAAGTGGGGAGGTGAGGGAGCAATTAGCTGGGCCTAACTATAGACCAGGCAGGCTGCTTCATCCTGCCTTGCTTAACTCCCTGACACCTGCCCCACTCCCAGCCCCAGCCTGGGGTACTGACTCAGTTTCTCTTTGGAGGGTGAGTCCAGGGATGTAGGGCGTGTGTGTGTGTGTGTGTGTGATGTCATCCTCAGGGAAGGTAGTGGTGGCCACTAATGTATTGGGGTACCATTATTTGAAGAAAAGCCATCCTCAAAAGGCCAGACAGTGCCCCACAATTCCTCCAGCCCTTTTCACTTGTGAGATGCTGGCTCCCTCTACTGGTAGCTCCAGGGAGAGATGGGTGCCTTCAATTAAGGCAGCGGTTCTCAACCCGTGGGTCTCGACCCCTTTGGCGGTCAAACGACCCTTTCACGGGGGTCGCCTAAGACCATCCTGCATATCAGATATTTACATGACGATTCATAACAGTAGCAACATTACAGTTATGAAGTAGCAACGAAAATAATTTTATGGTTGGGTCACAACATGAGGAACTGTATTTAAAGGGCCAGAAGGCTGAGAACCACTGATAGGGAAGGCCAACCCTTAAACTTAATCATTTCCTGCGCGCCCTCTCAGTGTCAGACACCATGCCCAGCACTGGGACAGAGATGAAGACTGCCCCTGGTAATGATGACCCAGCATCATCTGAGAGCTATCACTATATCGTAAGGGTTGGCAGAAACTCCCCTCCCTGCACTCAAAGCACAGACTCCCACCCCAGCTCAGCTGGAGCCTGCAAGAGAGGGGCCTATGGCCAGGGCAACGGGAAACAAAAATCCCAAGTAAGAATCCAGGAGCTTCCATTTAGCAGCTCTGCTCGCTCTGTGAAAGAGGAAGTCACTTACAGAGTTGGAGGGATGATGTTTGCTCTCCTCACACTCCCTGCTCCTATCCACACACGCATTCCCTTCAGCTGACCCAACCTTCTAGTTCCGGAAGCCCATTCAGGGCGTAGTCAGGGGCCCTTTCCACGCCTCAGCAGGTTTGACTTCTCTTGAGGCTCCCCCTAAGTTTGAAGCAGACGTCTCAAAGACAGTGCTCAGTGAGTGGGGTCTCTCCCCATTGGCTGGAGGGGCTGGGAGGCCCCAGCTTATCATTATAGCTATTAGGGAGGCCAGGCTGCGGAAGGCGTGGGAAAAGGACCTACACTAATCTAGGGGAGCAGAGGCCATTGGTCAGTCTGAGATGGGACTGCTGGCTCTAAGGGTTCTCCTTGGGTCTACCTATTATCCCCACCCCAACCAGCCCATCGCCGAGGTCCCCCTCTTTCGGAAAATTTGGTTTTCTCTTTCCGCCATCCTTGCCTCATGGGGTTGGCCTTCTTTACTGTTCTGTTGTGGAGATGACAGAATTCCCGCACACAGTCACTCGCTGTCCAGCACCAGCCCACAAGCAGCCCCCAGAGCCTCGAGCATTGCCAATGCTGTGTTTATTGGTTTGTTACACTGAAGAGTATAGTTTCTGAGCCAAAAATCATACACACTCTGCTCCTCACAAACCACTGAGTCACTAAGCAGGCACACAATGGCCACCGTGCTTGGTGGGGGCTGAGGACTCACAGACAGAGTGGGCAATGGGGCGGGCTGGCCCCCAAACAGGCCGTGCAGTGCCTGGGACAGGGGTGGGCTGGGAGGGGCGGGGGCTGTGCTGGATGCAGAAAAGCTGCTGGGTCCTTTTCTGTTTCTCAAATGCAGGAAGTCTCCAGCCCTTAGTGGTTGCTGGGCAGGCCCCAGGCCCTGTGGCAGAGTAGCCTCCTGGCCCTGGGGCAAGGCCCAGCCTGCATGTGTGGGGGGCTGGGGGTGGGGATGGCAGAACAAGCAGCATGACACCTCCCCTCACGAGTGAGGCTCTCCCATGGGGGTTTCTGGGTCCTTAGGCCTCTGGACATCCTGAGAAGCATGTGGAAGGCAGAGCTAACCTTGCTTTTCACCAGCAACAAACAAGAGAGACCCAGGCACCTCCTCCTTCCAGCCTTAGGACTCAGCGGATGCCTGGGATAGACGATGGGCTGCCCCCAAGTTTTGGGGCCACCTTTGAGAGGAGGCTGTGATAGGATCCCCTCCCTAAGGAATCACCTGGGATTCCTCTTGAGAGAAAGTGCTCCAACCACATTCCAGATCCTCCGGCTGGCAAAGTGTCGTGTATACAGTTTTCAGGGATGCATCTAATGCATAAAGCAAGAGCGAGGTGGCAGGAGTGAGACTGTACAGATACACGTGGGTGCACTGTACGGGCTAGGGGAGGGCATGGGGTCACCTCAGGTGGCCAAAGGCAGTGGCAGTGCTGCTGAGGTGGGCTGCTCTGCCCGTCTCAGAGGAGGGCCTGGAAGGTGGCCCAGGAAACACGCCCAAACTCGCAGCCATCCTGGCTGCCCCGACTGGGATTGGTGCACACACATGCACTGGGCCTACAAAGGGACTCTCAGAAGAAATACAACAGAGTCCCCTTGCCTCACATGACCCTCACCAGTGGGGCCCAGGCAACTATAGGCCTGGTGACTCGACAGGGCCCCAGGCTGACCCAGGAGAGGGCATGGGGCACTCAGGCTGAGGCTGCAGGGGCAGTGGGGCTATTTCCAGGTGTTTGAGAAGGAAGCAGAGTAGGTGTTCCCCAGGTCAGCTGCTCCCTGAGGCTGCCCCTTCCCCTCCTGGGCCTGACCTGAGGGTACCCTGGCCCCTGACTTGCCCTTCAGGGCCAGAACTGCCCGGAGTCGGATCCCAGGCTCACACTTTGTTAGGAACACAGCTGGGCAGGCAGGGTTGGCTGAGAGGTGGGGCAGTCTCTACTGTGCGCCCCTGCACCTCTCCCCACGGAGCCCAGGGCCAGGAGCCTAGGCTCTGGCTGGCTGCTGCCTCCGGGCCCTCACTTGTTCTCTATGAGCATCTGCACCTTGTGGACGAGGTCCCGGGCAATCCGCAGGATCTCCTGGGCATCGTGATGCTCAGCTCGTTCTGGAGGAAACATGGGTAACTGTGGGGATGCCGGAGCGAGGGCAAGCATCTGGGAGGAGCCCTATGGCTGCCCACCCTACTCCATTCCCACCTGCTGGACTCCCGACATCTGTGCACGGGGAGGGGACTCGGTATTTCTGAGCCTCTCCAACCCTGCCCAGGCCAGGAGTGGAGGCCCCTATCCCCTTGTTGGGGACAGCCAGATGGCTGGACAAGCTCCTACCATTGAAGAACTTGATGATGTCGGTGAAGTCCATGTTGTTGTCACGGATAATCTCACGGTAGGCCTCCACCAGGGCCAGGGCAATGAATAGGACAAAGTGCTCTGATGAGATGTGCTGGGCCGCCCAGATCACCTCCCACACCGCAAACACGTCCTCATATAGCAGCTCTGGGGACAAAAAAGGACTAAGGCTGAGTCTGGCCACCGTGGCCTCCAATGGGGCCACATATGGAGACAGAGCTCCAAGGGCCTAAGTTCTGGGGTTCTCTCCATTACGCAGCCGGGTCCAAGAGCGGGTGGGCTCCATGCGTCAGGCCAAGACCCTGCCCTTCTCCTTGGTAATTCCTGCTTATGAGGCCCCTGTGGACTCTACTCCTCTCTTCAGCTAAAGCAGCTCTGCTTTTAGAAACCTTGGTGCACAGAGGGGATTTGGTTGGAAAACAGCACCAAACGCCGCTGCCTGAGGGTGATTTTCCACCCTGTCTTCCCTTTGGAGTCACCTAAAGAGCTTTTAAAATCTCGATGCCCAGGCAGCCAGCCACACTAGTAGTCTGAGGCCCGGTAGAGCCTAGAGCCGTGGTCGGCAAACTGCGGCTCCCGAGCCACATGCGGCTTTTTGGCCCCTTGAGTGTGGCTCTTCCTAAGCCTTAGGAGTACCCTAATTAAGTTAATAACAATGTACCTACCTATATAGTTTAAGTTTAAAAAATTTGGCTCTCAAAAGAAATTTTAATCGTTGTACTGTTGATATTTGGCTCTGTTGACTAATGAGTTTGCCGACCCCTGGCCTAGAGCATTGGTGTTTCTAAAAAGTTCCCCAGGTTGCCCTAGCCGGCTTGGCTCAGTGGATAGAGCGTCAGCCTGTGGACTGAAGGGTCCCAGGTTCGATTCCGGCCAAGGGCCCATGCCTGGGTTATGGGCTCAATCCCCATGGGGCGTGCAGGAGGCAGCCGATCAATGATTCTCTCATCATTGATGTTTCTATCTCTCTCTCCTTCTCCCTTCCTCTCTGAAATCAATAAATATATTAAAAAATAAAAATAAAAAGTTCCCCAAGTGGTTCCAAAGTTCAGTTAGGGTCCAGGACCAATGACTTTGGGGCAAAAGGGTCACCCACCCCCTGACCCTAGGCCTGCCGTCCAACCCTCCTCTCACCTCTCTTAAAATCCAGCAGGAACCAGCGGTAACAGAAGTAGAAATGGGTGTAGTCTCCATTCTGATGCATCAGTTCAAACAGCTCTGAGTCCAGGATCTTGTGTGAGTGGGAAAGAGAGAAGGACTGAGCTGATGTGCCTCTTGTGTGAGTGGGAAAAGAGAGAAGGCCCCTTCTGCTGTGGCGCCTGTCCCTGCTGCCCCCACCCTCCACCAGGCCCCTTCCACTGTGGCGCCACTATCTCTCTGGGTTGTAGTCTTTTTGGAGTTTTACCATTTTTCTTTTTCTTTTTTTATCCTTACCCAAGGATATGTTTATTGATTTTTGAGGGAGGGAGGGAGGGAGAGAAAGAGAGAGAGAGAGAGAGAGAGAGAGAGAGAGAGAAACATCAATGTGAGAGATGGTAAATTGATTGGTTACCTCCTGTATGCACACCGACCAGGGATTGAACCCTCACTCTAGGCATGTGTCCTGACTGGGGTTCCAATCTGCAACCTTTTGGTGTACAATGCTCCAACCAACTGAGCCACCTGGCCAGGGCTCTGGGTGTTTGACTTCATCACCCATACTATTCACCAGAACTTTCATGAGCACAAGCATTCACATATTGACATTCCTCTCCATTTTTAACAGTGAAAACAATGTGTTTTCAGAAACAAACCCATAGATACGGAGAACAAACTGATGGTTGCCAGATGGGAGGGGTTGGGGGGCTGAGTGGAAAAGTTGAAGGGATTAAGAGGTACAAATTGGTAGTAACCAAACAGTCATGAGGATGTAAACTACAGCATAGGGAATATAGTCGGTAACACTGTAATAACTATGTATGGTGCCAGGTGGGTACCAGCCTTATGGGGGCATCACCATGCTTCAAAAGTTAGGAATGTGTCTAACCACTATGCCGTACACCTGAAACTAATATAATATTGAATGTCAAGGGGGATCCAAGATGGCAGCAGAGTAGGTGAAAGTTACGCTCACCTCCTCCCAGGTCCCAACTGGAATTACAACTAAATTATAAAACAATCTGAATAACCAAATGAACAGAAGTCTTATTACCAAGGACTGATGGAAGAAGCCACAGGAGACTGGTAGGAAGGAAGGGCAGAGACGTGAAAAGGGCTGGCCCTACTCCCACGTGTGGCGGCTGAGACTCTGAAGGGCTATCTCAGCTGCAGAAAGAAGCTGGGAAGCATGGGGTCTCAACCCCACATGGGGCTTCCCCGCCTGGAACACCAGAGCCAGGAATAGCAGCCCACATTAACTACTGTGAGCTTCTATTTCAACCATTAATTGGGGGGGAAATGTGTGTGTGTGTTTTTTTAAATGAAAGAAATTAAGCTTATATATAAAAGAAATTTTTGGACCACTCCCTGGCCTCCTTGTGGAAGACGGACAAGCCCAGTGGTGCCTGGTCACGTGCCCACGAGCAGCCACAGTCCTCACCTGGATGAGGGAGCGCATGTTAGCAAAGTGGGTGTCCATGGCGCCCCCATTGGGGAAGTTCTGGCTCATCCTCTTCATGAGGTGGCTGAAACAGCTGTAGGTCAGCTGATCTGAGGGGAGACATGAATGAGGCCACAGGGCAGGCGAATATTCCTACCCGTCTAGACCTGGCAGTTTTCTTTTCTTCTCCAGCTTATGTCAACCCCGCCCCCATGCCCGAGGTGCATGCCACTGTGGGAACTCCCCCCTCCCCGGCCCCATCCCTCACCATTATCAAGGATGACGAGGAGCGGCGCCAGCAGATCACACATGCCCTGCACATAGCCCACGTCCAGGTGTTCCCACACGTAGCTGGAATCCCAGGGACAGAGTCGCTGTAGGTGTGTGCCAGTCCCCATCCCCTCAGGGGTCCCCAGGGAGATGGGGCTTAGAGTAGCCTGCTACCCAGAAGTCAGCCTTCCGGGACCCTAAGCACTGGGAGTACCACGGTGAACAACTAGCCCTGTCTTCAAGGCACGCAGCGGGTCAGGGACAGAGACAAGGCTGGGGCGGGGCGGGGGAGCCCCGGAGTGAGGGAAAACGGGAAGGCTTCCTGAAAAACCTGTGATGAAGAGGGCGGGGCAGGGGCACTGCAGGAGGAAGTGTTCCCCCCAGAGGGAGTCCAGTGCGATGCTGGTGCAGCGAGGGGGCAGGGCACTGCTGACCTAACCTCACTGAGCAGGGTCCCTGCCGCCCACCCTGAGCCCTGCCCGACAATGGCACCTGCACATGATGTCTCTGAGCCTCTCGAGGTTGGGGGGTGAGAAGTACCAGTAGTTGCGGTCACATCGCTGCACATCCTTGTCTATGCGGTGCAGGTTTAAGGCCACGGTGTCCAATAGTTCTATCTGAAAGAGTGGAAGGCCCTCAGGGTAAGCTGGGGCCTGAGGTGATGCCCACAAGGAAAGCAGGAAAGGCAGGGAGCCAAGGACTCAGCGAACAGAGTCCTCTGGGGCGCTGAGAGACGGGCTCCAGGCCCTCCAAGATAGGCACCCCACCTTCCACCCGCCAGCCTGTCCCCAAGCCTTGGGATGGCAGGAGGGCTCTGGGGCCAGCTGAGAACAGTGCCTGGGACTGTCCACATACAGTGTAGGCAGCAGCGCACACAGCCGCCAGCTCCTCCCCGGCCTCCAGCTCGCCGGCCGGAGAGGCCTTCTCCTGGCTGGGATCCTGGGGCTCGGAGAAAGCGTGGACCGCAGGTTCCGGCCCGTCGGAGCCTTCCTCCCCACCGCAGTCCTCCTCGAAGCCCACACTCGGCCCCTCGTCTATGCTCGACTGGATGCCTGAGGCCACGGAATAATTGCGAGAGGAAGGCAGTCCTGAGTCTGGAGAATCAAACTCCACTGACTGCTGCTGCTCCACCACGGCGGTGCCCGGGGGCCCTGCTCCGGGTTCCTCCTCGGGCTCTGGTCTGCACTCCTCCGTGCCGGGGGGCTTCGGGGGCTCCAGGTCATCCACAGAGATAAACACCTGGTGGGGAGAACAGATGGTGGGGCTCATACCTGCACCCCAGCCCCTTCCCTCGGCTCAGTGTCTCCTTCCTGGGGTCAGAATAAGTGAGAGGGAGGGAGAATTCTCTTCACACCTACTCCACCCCATGGCCTCCAGCACTGCCTCCCCTTCTGACCCAGCTGTCCGGGTGGAGAAATGAGGTTCCAGGCCAACATGAAGACTTCAGCCCTATCCAGTCCCTTCCTCAGCTTCTTCCTGGGGCATGAGAAGAAGGGGAACACCCCAGGCTTCCTGTGGCTGCTGCAGGGAAGAAGGGAGACTGGAGGCCTGGACACTCAGTGGTACTTGATGGCAGTGTGAGCGATGGCAGTGTGAGCGGTGGCAGTGTGAGCGGTGGCAGTGTGAGCGGTGGCAGTGTGAGCGATGGCAGTGAGTGGTGTCATTCTGGGGGTAAGGGGGGGCGCGAGCCTGCCTCAGGTCAGGAGAGCTTCGGTGGGGGTGGGGGTAAGGGGGGCGCGAGCCTGGAGGCGTCAGGAAAACCAGCAGGGACCTTTTCTAGCAAGGACCTGATCAGTTATACTGGCCGCGGACAAGCTGAGGGGAGGTCAGGAGTGAAAGGAAACGTATTGTGCTGGTTGGAAACAGGCCTCACCATGGACCAGGACAGGGAAAAGAAGAGAGACATACAGAGACTGGCTTTTACTTTTTTTTTTTTTTCTATTTGGACTATGTAGGGAAAGGGATGCTAAAAGGAGTTTTCACTTTGGGCGAGAAGTGTCTGTCGTTGGATTAGTATCAGGTAAGGCCATGAGGCCGAGGCAACCGGAGCCCAGAGCAGGGCCCGCGAGGCCGCTGCTGTCTGAGCTGAGCAGCTGGGCACTGGTACCGACTCGGGATCTTATGAAGCCCAAAGCCAGAGAGAAAGGAAAGAATAGGCTCCCGACAGGGAGTGAGAACAAAGCACATGGAGAGTGTGCTATGTCTCGTTCGGTCTTGCTCCAGCTCCAGTTTTCTGTTACTATTAGGAAAGATTTAGTAAAGTAGCTAGAATACACTATCTAAAGCAGCAATTTTAAAGAAAAAAAATATGTTAGTAAATGAGTGTCCTTAAGCCCGAGACTTCTCATCACTTCTGTCGGGCTCGCAGCCAGTTCAGGCTTGTTCACCTAAAGCGGGTGACGCCGCGAGAGCCGGGCAGGCTCTGAACTGCCTTTGCGCGGTCAGTTCTGCGAGATGGTGACGGACCCCAGAGGCGGGAGATCTTGCCAGTGGACACCAGTAGCACCGCTCTACGGGCTCCCCTTGCCTCTAGCAACAGCTCTCAGGGAAGCCGCTACCATCAAAGGGCAGTAGGGCTGAAAGGGGACACTGAGGCCCAGAG